CTAACTTAGTGACGGCTAGCGCAGATAGTCCTCGTGTAGCTTTGCGCGAAATTCAAACCAAATAATTTTATTTTGACTTCTAACTCCAGTTTAAAACGAGATTGCAAAACGTTAAAGAAAACAAAACATGTCTTGAGTACTTTAATAGTCATACACTGTGAAAAATGTAACATTTTTTACACGTTTGCACGTTACACTTTTCGTAAGTTCAAAAGTATTAATTGATGCATACCGTTAGTGTTACTGCTGGCATGCAAACCCATAGCCAATATCTGCATCAGGATATAAGATGTTTTTTGTAATTATGCACAAAGCTACAGAATGGGCTATCTGTGCTCAGCCCACCACGGGTATCGAAACCCGGTTTCTAGCGCTGTAAGCCCGCAGACATACCGCTGTGCACCTGGGGGGGGGCGGATATAAGATGAAAGCTCTCTAAAATTTTAAGAAAACTTAAAATGTTGAAATAATTTTGAAATCCGATTCTTTTTATTTATGTGAATATTACATGTTACATGTTCTCTAAATATTAACATTAACATTAAATATTTAAGCATAAAGCTACACAATGGGCTATCTGTGCTCTGTCCACCGAGAGTATCAAAACTCAGTTTTTAGCTATATAAGCTGTTAGACTTACTGCAAAGCCACTGGAGATGGGTGCACTAGAATTGTTTGTTTTTGAATTTAGCGCAAAGCTACACGAGGGCTATCTGCGCTAGCCGTCCCTAATTTAGCAGTGTAAGACTAGAGGGAAGGCAGCTAATCATCACCACCTACTCTTTACCAAAGAATAGTGGGATTGACCGTAACATTATAACGCCATCACGGCTAAAAGGGCGAGCATGTTTGGTGTGACAGGGATTCGAACCCGCGACCCTCAGATTGCGAGTCGAGTGCCTTAACCACCTGGCCGTGCACTAGAATACCTGTTTAATAATATAACGTAAACATATTGGTAACATTTCGCGCCATTTTCTATTTTTCCTTAGTAATTCTTTTTTCAACCTAGACACATCATTTTACATAGAACGCTGTGGAAAGCATAGGATTTATATGTCTCATATACATTTCAAAGTATTTCCGTGTAATGAATAATATTAACTCCACTGTTTCCACGAGAAACTTTCATACTGATTAAGATTAAGGAGGGAGACATATTGTACTTTCTAAGTTTCTTTCTTCCTTTTTCCAACAATTACAAATGTGCTGGTTCGGCATGGCCAGGTGGTTAGGGCGCTCAACTCACAATCTCAGGGTCCTGGGTTCGAATCCCCGTCCCACCAAACATGCTCGCCCTTTCAGCCGTGGGGGCGTTATAATGTGACGATCAGTTCCGCTATTCCTTGGTAAATGAGTAGCACAATAGTTGCCTTCCCTCTATTCTATCATTGCTCAGTTAGGGACAGCTAACGCATATAGCTCTCGTGTAGCTTTTCGCGAACTTACAAACAAACAAACAAATGTGCTAAACTCCTTTATTTCTGAGCCGACAGTCTTGAAATGCGTAGGACATATACCTTAATTCAATACGTCTGAAAATCGGTTTCTTTTTTTTATTACCCCCAGTGGCACAGCGGTATGTCTGCGGACTTACAACGCTAGAATCATGGTTTCGATACCCGTTGTGGGCAGAACACAGATAGCCCATTGTGTAGCTTTGTGCTTAATTACAAAAACAAACTTTTTTATTATTTAGGCCCTAGTTGCGATTTTAGGGGTCAAAGGTCGAACATTACAAAAAAATTGGGGTTTTTTGGCCTGCTCTTTCTTTATATTATCAATTCAAATGAGACTTTGCACAAAGATACCTTACGTTAACTGCCACAGACTGAAGCAGACAGATGAGAGATTTGTGCCTTTCTTCCAATTTTTGAAGGTGTCAAAGGCTAAAAGTTTCACAAAGTTAGGGCTTTTAGCCTGTCGCTTCTTTACATTTTTACCAATCTAAATGAGATTTTGCACAAAGATACCTTGCTACATCCTCCTAAGACTGGAGCAGACACATAGGAGATTTGTGTCTTTTTAAATTATTTTACAGGAGTTAAAAGTTTAAAAAAATCGCAATATATCTCTTAGAACTCATGAGTGAAATCAAAGAAGAATAAGTTATAATATGTTAACCACACTTTATCTGACCATCCAGTGTTGATGAGGCCTTTCGCCCAATACCAGGGTTCATCAGACTGGTTGGAATATGAAATAAATACTATTGGTCTAGGCTCTGAACCTAAAAACGTTGCATATGTAAACATTACATCATAGATAGTTCTTTGATTCACACAGTGCTTACAGTTCCATGTCGAAAAACATGCCTTATTTGCCCAAAAATTACCTGTAACGTTTTAGTCATTGTGAATATATCTACTTACACAGAAACTGACTCTTCTATACGTTATAAGGTTACAATATGCTCCAACACATCTTTCCCACAAAGATGACTCAAGTTGTTAAGTTGTCTGACCCTCTGAATAATGTTGTTTATATACGTTATAAGGTCACAATATGCTCCAACACGTCTTTCCCACAAAAATGACTCAAGTTGTTAAGTTGTCTGACCCTCTGAATAATGTTGTTTATTGTAGTTTATTCTCAAATACCTTGTCCTGAATACAATTCTTCAAACCTGTAATCTGAGAATCCTATGGAATAAGGTAAATGGCAGGATGTGGGGGGGGGGGGGTATTAATGGCCTTTCACATTTTGATTGACGTATTTATGTTCTTTTTTTTTCTCTCCAGAAAATAAGGATATAACTATGTGATATTCTCTCTCTCTAGATGTCACATACAGTTTGAACGTTGGCGATCACGGTTCTCCATAGGTTCCTGTCTTTTGTACGTTTTAAAGTCTCATTCACACTGACATTTGTTTATGCTACTGATGTAGTTTAACCTTGGTCTCTCTCGACTTTTTTTACCTCTATTCTTCTAGTAATTACCAAATTTTCAAGTTCTTCCTTTCTCATTATGTGTCCTAGGAAACTCAGTTGTCTTTCTCTGTGATGGTTATGATTAGCTTCCTCTGTATGTGATATTAATTAATAAAATTTATAGATAGAGCCGAAAATTGTTTTACTGATACTTTTAACGTAATACAAATGGTTTCACCAAGAGATGTTTATGTATGTTTGTCTGTATTAGTTGTTATTCTTCGTTAGCAGGACCTTACATACCTATTCCATTTTTGTGTTCGAGTGATGATGAAATCTTACTAATGAGTCAGACAAAAGTTGGCGGTAGGTGCTGTTAACTAGCTGCTTTCTCTCTAATCTATAAGTTCAAAATAAGGACAGCTATGTTCAAACGAGCCTTGTATAGCTTAGCCAGATACGACACTAAACAATACATTAACATCAACCTGACTATGTGTTTGTTTGTTTGTTTCAGAATTTCGTGCTAAACTGTCTGGCCCATTAGTATGATTTCATCATCACTTTTATAGCGATACCCACGATCCCAAAGGGTGGAACGCGTGTTTTACAACAGCGGATCGCGAACCAAGAATCCATGGATCTGCATTCCAGGCACGCTAACCACTGGACCTCCGCTGGCTTATGATTATGTAAATAATCACGTTACTTAATGATGATTTCAGTGACCTGGAGAGAGAGTAAGATAACACCACATCTTGAAGGCTAACACTTCCTCGGTTGGCTGCACCTGTTCTGGTGTTGCTGCTTTCTGTTCTAAATGTAAGTTTTGGTGTCACGGTTATGACACCCAAGTAATAATCACTCCCAGAGATAAAACGTGCAAACTTTTTTTTTACTAACATGCACAATCGCATACAGGAACCCATAAGAGTCTTTGAAAGGTAGTATAAAACTATATATATAAACAATACATGTTTAGTGAAGACAACAAACAACTTCAAATAAATACAGGTTACAAAACTGATATTATAGTAACCGAAAAGAATATTAAACAACAATAGAACAGAACGGTGCACGGTGAAGCGTACTAAAAGTATTGTTGAACGTTGCTGATCGTAAAAGTAAGTGTTAAGAAATGTTTAGAAAACAATAATAATACTTTTATAGGAACCAGATATTGTATCTGTTAAATGAAAGGCCGTTTAGATTCAATCAAAAGATATTCCTTCACGTAAATTTCCTGTCATGAAAGTTTATCACAAATCGTTTGCTGTCTTCATTGAAAATGTTTTTATCCTTCACTGAAAACTTTAAAAAATAATATAAACAACACACACACACACACATACATATACTCAGTTTAAATGAACATCTCTGTGAGAATGCAACTGTAAAAAAGTTTTCACCGTACTCCACGCGTCGTATATCTATCTATATGGTTACACGTACAGCTTAAAAGTCGTAATAACCTGCAAAAGCCATACATTTGAAATGAAAAAACAAAGTGAGCAATATTTTCAATACATTTTTTTTTCAATGCTGTAATGTTATATAATACAATCTAGCCTTATAATTGTTCTTAATCAAGCATTTTAAAATCTAAAACATTTTGAGTATGAAAATATTGGTTGACTAGTATTTTTTACCACTGTTATTCGCCTTGTTTCGATAACGTAACGTTAAATAGTACAACACAGAGGTAACGCAGCTAAATGTTACCTTTCCTAAACTCTAAATGTACACTTTAGGAGTAAAAGTGCCACGATTACTTTGTGCACTGAACGCAAGTTTTCTTTTAAATGTTATAAGAAACGAGTTTTTAAAGTTTTATACGACGATATCTTAACTTTCGATTGATACGAAATCTTATTAAAAATATATATGTATATACAAAAAAATCACTTGAGTCTTTATTAGGTTTGTAAACATGGCAGTTTGGATGCTGGCAGGCAATCCAATGAACTTTTTAAATCTCTATCAAACTATAAGGCCTAGAAAAATAGGACTTTTAAAATATAAAGACTAGTATCAGCGATTAAATTGTGTTTTTCTGTTTCTTAGGCTATTTAACAAAGATCGTGACTCCTTCGCGTTTTTTCTTCTTCTTAGAGGAACTGTCAGAGTTCTTAGGTAGGCTTAATAAAACGAGTAATTCTAAGCAGTTAATTTAAAAACGTATATTTCTTTCCTAAGTTCAACAGAGCGGAACGCAGCTGGTTACCGCTGCTGGAGTCCGCTGGCACACACTCCTTCTTCATGCTTCACCAACAAGGACATGCGAGAGAAGGTCTTGTTACATGCCTTACACCTGTATTTCTTGACGTCCGAGTGTGTCTGGAGGTGAGCCCGCAGGTTGGACCGATCAGCAAAAGCTCGGGTGCAGTGCGGACAGGAGAAAGGTTTCTCTCCAGTATGGGTCCGGATGTGACCTTGAAGTAACCAGGGCCGGGAGAAGGCTTTGCCACATAACGTACATGTACACGGGAGGGTGTGAGTCCTGATGTGCATCTTGAGAGCCCCAAGGGAGACGTAGACCTTGTCGCAGTGCTTACAGCTAAAGGATTTTTTAGTAGTTGACTCACAATGGAACTGCCGATGTTTGGACAGTCCACTGAGGGTGGAGTAGCTTTTATCACATTCCAAACACTGATATCGAGAATTTGCTGTAAGCGTTTTACTAATTGTTGCTGTGCTGTCTCGACTGCTTTCCTCTTCTGATTCAGGACTAGGAGGAGCTGTCAAAAGTGACTCCTGGTGGCTATATGGAATCCACGTCGTTGATAACTCGCTTTTGCTAGGTGCCACTGCTTGAATAGGAAATGATTTTATGGGTGAAAATAGCTCTTTTGTAGAAACCGGTGAACCCAAAATCGGCTTGTCAGTTGATCTGGCCAAACCATTACAGGAAGTGGGTGGTGACCGTGGTGGAGACATCGGTATCTGAGGCTGTTCCATGTACCCGAAGCTGTAAGTGGTGTCAGAGTGGAAATGCTGGTAATGAGAAACGGGGGTTTGTGTGCAAGATGATTCTTCTGGTCGACTAACCACTGTTTCGGCAGAGGATGCAGAAAAAGCGAACACATTTGGATCTCGCCGATGTTGTAAGGGTTCTTCTACTGATTGAGGTTGGTATTCAATTTTTGAGCCAGACACTCTTGTCTTTTTAGTCAAATCAAAGGGAACCAGGTCATCTAAAAAAAAGACAGTACAAATTCGGTTACACATGTAAACAGTTTGAGGTCAAGGCATTTTGATTGCAGATAATATATATATATAGATTCAATGGGGACTCTTTGGTTGAATGAAGTATGAGCGTATATATTATTGTCCGTATTTATATTTTGTATTTATGACAAACTTACAAAGGTTATCTCCCTACGTCATTAATCTTGTACTATTGACCAGAGGGAAAGCAGTCGGTCAGCAGCATCCTACCACTCATCATTCACTCTAAAGGATTGACTGTCTCTCTTATAACGCAATCACATGCTAAAGTGTATGGAAAGTTTTTGATTTTGCACGGATTCGAATCCAGCTCGCTAGCTCCGAAATATAGAGTTCTACCACAGGGCCAACCCGCGCCCATATCATTATCAGTTTTAAAAAAATACCAAAACGGATCAGTACCTTCAATTAGGAATTTGAACAGTGCGATTCATTGACTTTGTTATCTGCTATGTATACGATAACATACTTTTTGAAATCTTTCCTTTAACTTATTTAGATTTAATTCATGCTGAAACAAGGCTATAGCCCCCTGACGACATACATGTCATGTAAAATCCTGTGGATACCAAGAGTTTTATTACCTGTATTTGACACCCCACTGATTAGGTTTTTGTCACACCCACTATAAGTTTTCCTCACGTTTACCCTATGAGTATTTCCATCACTAAAACTACTTTTCTAATCTTATCTTTGCACAGCCACAGATAAAGAACTAATGAAAACGTCGTTACAGCGCTGCCTATCAAGACTCTGCCACCACTGCTAAATATCAACTGGCAACAAAGCTGTTGCAGATACGAAATGGCTCAAATACCTGAGATCTTAGAGATTGCCCAAATTATTTGAAATATGTGAAGATTTTTATATACACTGCAATAACTGCACTAGTGGCTTCTGTTGATAATGTGCAATATATATTTTTTGTATTTTTATATAATTTGAATTAAAAGTCAAACTACATAATGGACAAAATGTGCTCTTCCTACTGTGAGGAATCGAACACCGAAATTTAGCGTTGTAAGTTCGGAGGATTACTGCTGGCCCACTGGGGGGGGGGTGAAATTAAAACAATGATAGAATAAACCATTTGTTAAAAAGTATTTGATGTCTGGCAAACAAAACTATTGTAATTATTTTGAATTAAAAATCAACACATTAATCACGATTTTGCTTGGAATCTTATGAGTTTTATAATTTATTTCTGTAATATTAAAATAGTTTAACAAATTATATACTTCAGAGATGTAAAAAAAAAGTGTGTTTGTAAAGGAGTTGTGTGAAATTCTCGAAACTTATCAGACATTTCATTTTTCATCTCTTATCGAGTTACTAATGTTAATAGAACAAAGTGAGAAGAATGGGTGGTTATATGAAAGATAATACAGTATCTAATGATGAACAACAAATTCAAGTTGTTCATTGGATGTTTTGTTAGGTTTTCTTTCATACTTCAGATAATTTGTCCAGTAGAAATAATACAAGAACAAAAAATATAACTCAAGTAAATAACTACAGTTATTGAATTATTTAGAAGACACAGTCCTCCCCTCCAAAAAACAAACAAACAAAACTACAACAACATACAAAACAGATAATTAGAAAAATATGAAAACAAAATATATTCAGCAGAAGTAAAGTTATTATTTGAAGCAGGAAGATCCTGCTTAATCAGGGGACAGTGATATTGTCTTTATTTACTGTCGAATTTACTGAAGATGCGATTGAAAACATTCTAAAACGCTCAAGAAGCATACTTCTGTGATCGTACTGTTCATCATCATTATATTAAAATTTTCGTTTTACAAAACTGTTGTCGCAATAAGAAGTGCGTGGAAAATTTAAATTTTCACGATTACATACCTGAGTAGAGAGATAATGGAGATGCTAGGCTAATAACGATGTCATTATCCATATCTGTCCAAGATCTCTTGATAGGAAGGTTAGCTTTATAATTTTGATGTTTCTTGATTAAGAACGAACGAGGCATTATGGGACGTAAGTTTTTGGCACCAGAGAGTTTCGGTGTGTTATGGCACAGACAAGTTCAACAAGTAGTTAGCTTCACACGATCGTATGTTAACTCTATAGTACGTTTTACAACACGACTGCTCGCAACGAATCGCTAACAATGATCTTTCTCGGACGAGTTTATTCTAAAGTGAAGAACTCAATGGTTTTCAAGCAACTTCTCTTCTTTTCCGCTCTTTGCAAAGGTGCAGGTGTACGTCGAATAAACCAATCACAAGAAATCCTCGAATGTTGGGTATTTCGAGAACCCACCAATCAGATAACGCCGCTAAGCTAGTGTTTGCTTCTCCTGCCAGCTGGACCATGAGTTAAGGAACGGGAGGGAGGGGGGATAGTGGGAAACAGGTGCACGATATAGGAGGGTTTAGTCCTGTCTAAGAACTCCGTTCTTGCACTCAATAAATTAGGTGCTGCGGGGTTTTGTGCCAACTAGAATATCAATCTGGGGAACAGTAGCTCTGCTTTTTTTTTGTCATCGACGTGACAACATCTGTTGGGATCTGAGTTATTACAATAGAAAACAGAAAATTCGGCTTAACAAATATCACTTGACTAGAAGTGTACCTAAAATACCCTGTGGTTACATTCTTGATAATAAGCATTGTACACTAAATATAAAAATGTATGTATATGAATATACACGTATATATTAAAGCGTTTGCATATATACTAATAAACACACTCCTCTTACCATATATACATACATAAGTTACGTATATTATTATATATCTATAACTATTTATATATTCATGTAGAGTTTTCCTCACTCATTCTTAAGTGCGTGAGTATTTTACATACTGGAACAAACAACGCAATATATAATAAATCGGTAATTTTTAAGTGTACCACTAGATGGCGCAAAAATAGATTCATATAGACGATTAGCAGTCCCATCGTAACTGACTAAATTGTCTCGTGCCATGTAATATCATATATATATATATATATGTATATTTCTAAACTGGTTCACCGAAGAGAGCGGAAATCGGAAAAGAAGTCTTCAATTCTCATATCTTAACACAAACATAACACATTAAAACATTTCGTGTTCTTCTAAAATCCTCCATATCAGATTGTGAATGTTACGAGAGAGAGAGAGAGTTTGTTTGTTTGTAATTACGCACAGAGCTACACAATGGGCTGTCTGTGCTCTGCCCACCACGGGTATCGAAACTTGGATTCTAGCGTTGTAAGTTCGCAGACATACCGCTGTGCCACTGGGGAGCGGGAGAGAGAGAAAGAAAAGAAACCGTAAAAAGAAAAAATACAAAATGTAAGAAAAACCCTATCCATTTTCAGTTTCCTTAAGCTTAAATCTTTGTAATATTCTGTACACAAGTACACAACATGCAGTAAGAAATTTTCTCCAAGATGATTCCTAGGGAATGCTAAAAACAGAAAATGCAAAGATGATGAACTAGTTAACTGAATACGCTAGAAATATTTTATACCCCCTCCCCCCAAAAAAAAACAACAACAACAAACAACAACCTGAAATCGGAACATCAATATCTGTAGACGTACAGTGGGCATTAAGTTGTGTAATTTTTCTTTCCTCACTAAAATATTTAACATTAGAGAAGAAAGGGAAGTATCCTTGAAACAAATAGAGGCCTAATCTGTTCGTAATGACGACTAGAGGACGTTACATCAAACCATGCTAATAAATTATGCATGCCTAACGTATTCCTTTTATATAACTGCAAAGAAAACTTACAATTTTTTTATCTAAAATTATAGGTTTCCTTGATTTAATTCCCTTTAAGAGAGTATTTTGTTTTTCTTAACTGCATTTGTTCAGTAGAATTATGAGCAATATCAATACTTTTTAAAAACTGTTTAATTGGGTGGTTAAAATAAGAACTACAATTGCAGCAAGAGTTCAGGACCTCCTCGAACTTTTAAATATATTTTTCTAAATCGTTTACGAAGCAAGTCGCTTGTAGGCCCATGACTTTGTTAGTTACAGAGTCCTTAACAGCATATGAGTCAAAGAAATTAAATTTAAATGAATAACAATTTTCTAAATATTGCACTTGATTTGACTAGAAACTGGGTTTCGATACTCATGGTGGGCAGAGCACAGACAGCCCATTGTGTAGCTTTGTGCTCAACTACAAACAAACAATGATTTAAATAATTACTTCTGGGGGTCCCCTACATACAAAACAAGTCATATCATCAAGTTTTGTGATTTGTTTGTTTTTCACACAAGGAAAAGCGTAAGTTTGCTCAATATGACACCATCTACAGTAAAGGTACAGGATCAAATAGGTAATGTAAAGGTTAAATTCAAAATTCGTAAAAGCTTGCATTTGCAATTGTATAAAGTAACAGTTGTTTTTTCACCTTCTGATCTGCTTTATATGACTACTCGCTTCCGATCGTTGACACATTTTATAAACAAAAGTTACAATACTTGAAAAGAAAACCGATCTTTATTCGAAGAAAACTGGGAAAACAAAGTTTAAAGTGTGCATAAGTTATCTTTGTGTAATGAAAAGAGTCTGAATGAACTTGCTTATCTGAATTATTTGTATATGTATTCTGGTTTCATTTATACAATGCACGTAGGCACACACAAGTTCAAATTTTTACCACTAGAGCTTCAGATGAATTTTAAATAATCCTAAATAAGTTACAGTTGAAGATATTTTGAGGGTTTTTCTCTACAATCTAAAAACTTATATGTTGTTACATAAGGCAAAGTAATAAGAATGAAAAATGAAAAACATCTTAACTTTTCTAGACAATTTATATTCTTGGTAACGTCAGCACTAAAATCTCCTTTAAGTATGCTCAGTAGTAAAAGTGAGAGCTTATAACATTAAAACTAGGGTTCAATCCCTGCAGTGGATACAACACAGATATACATTATATATATATATAAGTATATATCCAAAATATGAAATATATATTTTATATCTATAAGAAAGAGTGTGATCTTCTCGAACGTAATAAATATATACTGTTATTAATACGTATACCCAAGGATTCCAACTTAATATTAAATAGTGCAAGACTTTAACTGCCTCCTGTACATCTAGCACTATGAGAAAATCCGTTGATTGAAGAATAGTGTTAAAGCTGCGAAAGCGCAATAAAAAGATACGACAATTCAAACCTGGTGGTGTTTCGAATATTTATATATATATATAATATTGTAGGATACATTGATTTCGTGTTTCAAAATCTAGATAGGTGTATACAACTTTTTCTGTAAAGTTGGAGCACCTTAGTGTACATCTGATTGGTTGATACACAGTGTTCACATTAGTTTAACTGTATTCTTAAAAAACATTCAAATAATGCATAAAGTTTGAGAACAGTTTGTTGGGTGTGTTCGTGAAATCAAATTTTATTTTCGTGGAGAAAAAATTTAGTTAGTCGAAAAACGTGACAGCCTTAACTAGGTCAGTCTATTTTTTGTTTGTGGCTACTGACGTTGGAAGACTCTCCTTTAAAGATAGATATCCTACTCTGAGCTCGTGGCATTTTGTTTATATAAACCTGGTACTTACGAAGCAAGGTTTAAAAAAATAAGACCGATAAAGAACGGTTTTAGAAGCTTCAGTAGTAGTAGGGCTATAAGGAAGGCTTGGACAAAGAACTGATCCGCACTCCTTGCTTCACGTGTTGCTCCCCCCCCCCCCCCACTTTGATGGCTAAGTGGTAAATATGAGGGCTTATAACGCTAAATATCAGGTTTCGATACCCGCGGTATGCACGGTGCGGACAGCCTATTGTGTAACTTTGTGGTTAACAACAAACAAACAAAGCTTCACGCGTGCTCACGGTTCTCCAGTATCTGATTATTACTGAAAGAAATATATAGATAAAAGAAGAAGACGTCCTAACAAAGCTTGTCAGAATATCAGTGACGTTTAACAAATTCTCACGACTTATACATTACGGGTTTAAATGACTGATACTGGTTGTTCGGAAGATTGAGTGTAAACGTTTGTTCTTCTGTTTTTCTCTTCGAATAACTGAAACCCATCAAGGTTTACAAAAATTGACGCGGAAATAGAGTGTATCTTAAGGCCTTTTCTCTCTCTCTCTCTCTTAACGAAGTTATTTTCCCGGACAACAGGTGCCACGACGCCTGCAAGACGCGAACATTGGGCGCCACAAGATGGAGCTGTCAAAGCTTGCCGAAACAAGCACAGAAAAGGCTGCGCTATTTGTGGGTGTAACACTGGAATACCTTCAACTTGTTGGGGTGCTCTGACCTGTAGGTTAGTAGAAGATAGACTTTCACAGACAAAACATGTTTTCATAATTCACTGGCGGGAGATAAAGTTTAACAGTCCTAATTCCTTTTATGGTACAGCACACTGTAAAGCAACACAAGAAAAAAACGTCTTCATTAGCAAAGCTAAATGTAGGGGGAGCTGTACTTTATGAAATGTTTTAAAGAGGCAATACAGAGCTCATAAAAAAACTGGTTTACTTCGTTACACAGGAAGTGAAAGACCATTAAATTACTAGTTTTAGTAAAGCTAGTTGAGACGAAATGAAATTTTCACACTGTAATGAACATAAAATGTAAACAGAAACATGTCTGAGGGGTTTATCCCACGTGATACTACTAGTTTTGATCAAACTGCTTTTAGAATAATGACATGAACCACCCAACACAAGTACATGAAATATGGAGGAATTCGAATAAATAACGCCATAAAAGTTCTGTACTTCTTAGTGGAGACATACCATGCCCGAATTCTAGATATTGGAAATAGATCAAAACAAATTATATTATCCAATAAGCCATCTAGTTGTTCATATTCAAACTATTTCACTTCAGTGAATCATTTTATAGCTCACGATTAACTCTTTTTTTTTTAAATTCTCACTCAAAATTCAAAATTCAAACATAACTAAAAACAAACTCTGCTATCTTGCACGATACCCTTATGATACCCAAACATAATAGTGTAACTATGATATCCACTCACAAAAGTGTAACTATGATAGCCATATAAGTATAACTATCATATCCACACATAAGAATGTAACTATGATACATACACACAAGAGTGTAACTATGATATCCACACACAAGAGTGTAA